GTCAACAAATGAGTTACAGCAAATGGTGTGTGTGTGTATATGTATATATATAAAATAATGTTGAATTTTGATTTGTCCATGAAAATCAACCTAAGCTACAAAATAATAATATTAAAATTTGGCCTTGCTTTTGGGGGTAGTTTTAGTATTTTATATGCATAAGTCTACCGTTTGATTACTTTTGGCTTGATCTGCAAGCTTAATTAGCTTCGAGTAGATAGGGCCCGCCTAATTGACTGAGCTTGGTCGGTGAGAGTCAATGGGGCCAACTCAAGCTGATGATCTATCTTGGTTGTCAATCTTTGATCTATTGGTGAGAAACTTCTATCGACAGAGCGTCACTAGCCTATCAGGCTGAGGGTGAATCACCGTAAACCAATAAATAGCTCGCCCCTCAATGAGAAGGGCCTACATACAGGACGACAACCAAACTCTTTGTTACACAGTGAACTTTTCATCCCTGGCTAGGAGCCCTAGTGCGTTCATGAGATTGTGGGAGTTATTGTGAAATTGGATCATCCCTTGGATGAACTCTTCCGGAGAGTAGGCTATCGTATTGAATGGGTTTTTTTTATAGTGGTTGGGTTGGATGCTCTTTTGTTTTGTTTATAGTCTAATGGGTCAGGTTTGAGCCATCTGGTCGTCTTTTTAAAATGTTTCATGATTCGGTCAGTATTAGCCCTTACTGGCTTTGCTCAGATAAATTCACTCAATCAGACAAATGTGCCTCATGATATTCTGTTAGTGGACCCTTTTTTGTCACACTCTTTAATTGTGGACCAATAAATCTCATCAGGTTAGTATTGACATATTTTTTTTATATACATATTTTAGTTTTTTGATTATCGCGTTTATTGAAAGCGCCGTTACGACAAAAATAAGAGACATTTATTTTTTATTAATGATTTAATGATTGAAATCTCTTTATTTTTACCTTTTTTTATTCTTTTTCCTAAAACTTTCAAAGTATAGAGATGCTTGTGCGATGTAATTTATATGATTCTTCTCATTTTCTTCATAGTGGATTTTATGGTCTATTGTGACTCTGTGATTTTTTCACATTCTCGAGTTTTTTTCACATTAAATCTTGTTTTTTTATATGATTTCCTTATTTTGTGCGCTTTGGCTCAAAATTTTATTTAAAATCTCTTGAATATGTTTCTACAATTCACATCTCTCACAACTCCTATGTATTTACATATATAACATCTAAAATTTAATTTTACATTTATATCTCCCAAATCTTTCATATCACATAAAAAAATATCATCATTTTAACTGTTAAATGTGAAAATACATATGGGGAATGTGGTATGTTTGTAGGAGGTGTTTAGGTGTTTTGTAAAAATAGAAATTTAGTTGTTAGATATGTAAATACATAAGAATTGAGTGGGGTATATATGTAAATCTCCCTACATTTTTATGTTAGAGGAAAGCAAGTTGTTGTAGAATCCAAGGAGATGTGAGGCTCCTCAACTTAAAGAAGTCAAACTCAACAAGAATAAAGATTCTGGTTAGGAGCAAAAGTGCAAGAGAAATTCTTTTTGAAATGCCAATCTTTATCTATCAAATTCAGGAATATGAATCCACATGCATGTGATGGGGATATATAAGGAGGTTGTGTTTGTACTTTATCATCTAAAGACATAATTAAATTTATTTTTAAACTACATGCTTGAGCCAAACTTCAGCCAAGCTTGAATGTTAGTGAATTTTAAGATGATTTCTCAAACTTTTTAACCCAAATTTGAATCATATTTAGAGCCAATTTATGGTAGTTTATCTGTTGCTTTGCTTTTCAGACCGCCATCATAACTCCATTTGGTTATTATTTTCTGGCTACTTATACACTTTTACGATGAGAAATTGGCTAATACTCGTAACAACTTCTAAAAAACAATTGCTTCCCTTACAACAACTTTATGATCAAATTTATAAAAAGCTTGTTTATATAAAATGAGTAAGAGTCAACATCGTGCACATAAAGTGAACTTTTTTGAAATAAAAATGTAGAATCAATGAGCTAATTATAGTAATAGTAATAAGAATAGTTTTATTGATTGTTTTATATAATTAAAGTTGGTGATGCATGATTAAATTTGAAGTTTGACATTCCATTTCTTTTCCAGAGTTATTGTTCGAATTTCATCAGATGACAACATTATGATGATGGAACTTAAATGATAACATAAAACTAGTAAATATACTGTGTTGGATAGGATATTATCCTATTTAAATATAGTATTATTTATCATAATTAATAATGATTTTATTTTGTCCTTATCTAATCAATATTAAAGTTGTAATCAAGCCAAGCTAAGAAGCATAGATTGGACTTAGTCTGGTCTTATTATGAACAATTCATGTCCAATTTGAGTTTGAGCAGAGCTTTCACATATATGCTCTTATTTGGCTTGAATTTTTTTTTTATTGGCCTGTTCATTTTAATTGAGCAAACTAATAATTCGAATGATCATTTGATTTTTCTATAAAATTAAAGGTTTAATTCTTACTTAACTTTTTATATAAAGTTAGTAAATAAACTAAAAATTTAAATGAGTACTTGAGTAAAATTAGTAATAAATATTTTACAAATCTAAATAAATAAACAATTGAATAAAAATATCAAATTAACATCCAACTAGTTCATACCAAATGAATAAAATAATATATATATATATATTATAAATAAGAATTATCGCAATTACATAACATAAATAATTGCTAACAAGTTCGTCAAAATTAAAAAAAAAAACACAAAAAAATGTAATAAATTCATGCATATTAATATTAAATCATGATAATTTATTGTTAAATATATTATTAAATATATTCTAATTAATTAAGTTTTATTTAAATAATATATCATATAAATATTGAACATTTAATAAATCATTTGTTTAATAACAAACAAATTTGTTAGTGAATATCAATAAACAAGTTAGATTATATTCAAATCTAATTCATTTAACTTTCCAAGTTAAAAAATATATATATATATATTTATTAATTCGAACAAATATGATTGAATATTAATTTACCTGAGTTCAAGTTGTTCATCAAGTGCATTGATTCATTTAATAGTGGTATTTTTGATGTGATATGAAAAGTTTGGGTGATATAATTATAAAAAATTAAAGTTTAGGTAATAGATAAGTACATAAATAAGAATTGGGTGGTATGTTTGTAAACGCCCCAAAAAGAAATGAAAATTTTCTCATTGTCAAATGCCAATACATTAAAAAGAAAATCTTATTGCCAAATTTCTCTCTACATTTCATCCTATAGGTGTAGCAGCAGCTAATGGCAGACTCCATCACTCCCAAAGTTGCAATTGCCCTGTCAAATATTTAACGATTCACGGAATTTTCAACTTTAAGCCCACTAATCTTAAAACAGTTCTCCATTATAGGCAGTGAGTGGAACCTAGTTATTGTCAGGATGGGCAATTACGCTCCCTGGATTTTAAGATTTCCCTAAATAAATAATAAAATTTCATGTCTTTTTTCTTATGTAGTTTAGACAATTTAGTAATTTGCGTCCCATCAATATATTTTTTTGTCTAATACTTTAAAAAAATTAAACATTTGGTGATTTTGCTCATCCTAAAAAATAATATTGGTTCCGCCCCTGATTACAGGACATAATGGTGTTTGTGGTTGTGGAACAAAAACCTTTCGCCTACCTATCATTATTGGCTAAATGATATTATCCTTCTATGGCTCAACAAGCCTCTCAATCTTTGGCTCTTTCTCTCACCATCTATTTAGAATAGTTACAATTTCTCAATAATGACCACCTTATTCACATTTTCAAGCATCCTTGTATATTTCTAAGGACATTACTTCCTCTAGGTTTGTTTTCGCTTGTTTCCTCAGTACACCTTGGATAGTTGATCATGGTGCTTTTCTCACATATTAAGAAAATTGTCAGTGATTGTATTCACTCAAACTATCCTCTATGTCATCAATGTATTAACATAATCTAGACATCGTGTTTTTAATATATTCCTAAATTTCTTGTCATTCACTAGCCATTCATTCTTACTAAACACAAAAAGTTGCTATGCAACAATTTGACACTCTTATTGTGTTTTTTTCGGCTCTCAATCATAGCAACATGATTGGTGTGGTTGTAAAGTTAATGTTTATTAATATCAGGAATTTTCTATGCTCTCTTTTCCCCCGTCATGCTTTTCAAATGATATTTTTGTCTGGCTATCCTCCGCTATATCATCTTCTATAGTTCACTCTTATCTGCTCCTCCAATTTTGAATTCTCGTATGACATAGTGAACATCATTGGGTATTTTTTTCATCTTTTGTCATCCCATTTGAACTTGTTCGTTATGATATATGGGATCAAAAAATTAAAGTTTGCACCTTAACTTGTTAAAACTCTGCACACAAGTAATGCTATGAAATTGATGTAAACTCTATTTCATTCATTCCATGTTGATAATACATCACATCTTGTCCTTGTGCATCAATGTTGTTAAATGTGCAAGCGTTGCCATTTGCTTGATGTTACTCAGACTATGATATTCCACTATCTCTTCAAAAGCACCATTTTCTCCTAGTCCAAGGATTTTTTAGTATTTCTATTTTATTTGTTTCTTTTAACCAACAAACAAACTCTCTCCTACAATTCTGCGCACTTTTCATGACACTCTTCAAAAATTGGGAAAAAAAAACTAACAATTGGTTAAACTAATTCCGCTGTGAATTTTCTCTCTATTTTTCCTCTCCATTTTGCAACACCATCTTCTCTTCTGCTTTCCTCAGCTTGTCTTCCACCCTTTCCGAGAACTCTGCTGCAAAAACACCCCCATAAACTTTCCTATATCCACTAAGCATCCACCTATGAATGTATATTTTAATCTTTATATCCCCGTTGCTCTTCATAGAGGTAAACAATCCAATTACTTATCACTATATACTCTTTTAAATAGGAGAAAATTCAATCTCAAAATACTAAAAGTTATACCAGCACAATTGGCAAACTCATCAAATTTATTTAACATAAAGCGTCATACAAGTAGCCAGCATGCAGCAGGAACAGAAGATAAACTAATCCCACATGCTCACGCTTTTGGCAGGCACAAAGCAACCGATTTTATTCTATATGATAACAGAAACATATGGCATCACATCAAACCCACACGTGAAAAACCACTCATGAAATGAGATTATATAAAGATCAAAGCAGGAATCGCAGTCGGCAGCTAAGACTGGTGTTAAGTGATGTACTTATCCAATGACCTCAGTGAGCCTCAATGGCTTGATGGCCACCAGCAGCTGACTTCTTCCCCAACAAATCAAGGTACTCCTTCCTACAATGTGCAAGTGAAGATTAGCACCATAGAACCTCGGCAATAATATTCACAGTAGGATGGGAGAGAATTTGGTTACCTGGCAGGAAGATGATCATTGGGTCGGTTGTGTGGAGTCCACACAGGCTCACCGACAAAAAGTCGTAAAGCCTACAAAATGAGATTTTTTTTGTAAAATGAAAAATTAATGTAAGAATTGCAAGATTATCAAGCTATTTCTTGAGGAAATAATGGAGGAAATTGTGAGAAACGCTGCACATTATTATGATGAAACTAAATAAAATAAAATGTTATACCTTTATGTAGTCATTTGTGTCTAGAGTAAATCGGTGGTAAATTCCAGCAGGCAAGACAATCATTCCCCCTTTCTTCAGTGCTACACGAATCCATTGGTCATTTTCATCCCTCACATCAAAATAACCTTCACAGGGAGGGGAGCAGTAAAAAAAATGAAATGAAATTCCACAAACAAGGAGTTCAACATGAAATATAAATCTAAATTAGTTCCCTAAAACCAGGAAATAAAAGAAAGAAAAAACTACCGCTTCCATCAAGACAATAACGAATCTCTTCATCGGTGTGCAAATGTTCCTCAAAGAAGCTCTTGATCTTGGCTTCATAATTTGGCAGCTTCTCTGGGCAAACTTCAACTATGTCCTGAATGGGAATTAACAAAAAAGATAAATTTCTGCAAGTAGTATCTTCCTAGGCTTCTCGAAATACACTAACAGAAGTAGAAAAGCTTTTGCAAAAATACCATATAAGAGTAGCCCCTCGCTTCACGAATCTTTTTTAGCGCTTCATCATTTTCATAGTCATTAGCATTCAGTCGCCAGCTGAGAACACCAAGTTCTTCAAAAGAAAACCGTAAGCTTAAAACCTTCAGCACCATGAGCAACTGATAGACAAATGCATTGAATGAAAGGAAAAAAGAAAATCTGGTGACATGCAAACCTGCAACTTTGTCAATAGAAACAAACTGCTTGGGCGTGCGGTGATGGGGAAGCCTCTGGTCTTCTTCAGTGTCATCCATATACCATGCTTGGATTACTTCTTCCTTTCCCTCCTAATTGAAAAGGCAGTGGAAAAGTAAAAATCTTATAGATACTTCTTTTGACACATCTATGTATATTAACAGAATGTCCAAAAAGGGATAATTTTGTCATTTGTGTACAAAAAAACAAGATTACTTCCTACTGCATGCTTTTAGCATTTTTATCAAGAGTCAAGGCAAAATGAGACAACCAGACAAGAGTGGCATAGTAAAGAGGTGTATCTGATATAAAATAGGGAGATTTTATGCATATTCCTGCCGATTCAACAACTCAAAACTATAATATGCTGTCTGATGATAAGAGTGTAGCAACTTGAATCTTATGCAAAGACAAATTGTTCACTTTCCTCCAATTGGTATAGCTTCCAAAGAGATCGCCCACTCAGAAGTGCTCCAGATTAAGGACGCTTAACTTATAAAATCCCAACAAAACTCTAAGATTAATACCAAAATGCACCACAATGTTTAAAAGTTTGGCCACAATATACTTAAAAAGGTCAGACATAAAGCAAGTTTTGCATTCACGTTGAATAAACAGATGCGTTTTCTAGGAAAATAAGAAGCCTTTCAGGTGAAATGGCAGGTACAGAACATTAAAACGAGAAGCATTTGGTAACCTTGAAGAGAGGTATAAACAAAAATTAAAAATCAATTGCATCTGAAGGCCCCGTTTGTTTGTTAAACAATAAGAGCAGTAGAAAAAAAATCCATGGTTTTAGTTTGCTCACAACGAATTGGAAGAACATCTATTAGCATATAAATCGATACCAAAATAGTATTTTCTTAAGGAAATCAAAGGATATTAAATGCAAAAGACAATTTGAGATTTATAATGTAAAAAATGAAGTTTGGCGTTGGGTATATCTATGCCACAGCTTTTTTGTTCTGATAGTCCAAACACTTTGTTCTCTAAAAGAAAATAACCAGATCCTTAGAGAAAGTCCTTTGGTTTATGTTTGATCCGTTGAAATTCTTCCAATGCTCCAAAGCCAGTCCATACAAGTAACTGAAGTGGGCTTTGAAACACAACTCCTCTCAATTTCCACATAATTGAAAACAAACTAAGTCAATATGAACGGCAACATGCTTTTATAGGACGATCTCTAAGGTCCTCTAAAAGGTAAAAACCATAATATGTTTACAGCAGGAAAAAAAAACTTATTCAAAGCCTACCATACAGCACAAGGAAAATGATAGATTGATCAAATTTTTAATTCTTAGATTGAATTTATAAGAATATCCAGAAGACAAATATAATTTCTTTAACAATATGAGTAGCACAAATCAACTTCGATGGCTAGATGTAGAGATCATTTGATGTAGGTCACCAACTCACGATCCATGTAAAAATATGTAGTGAAATGACTGTGATCTCCATGAAACAAATTTCATACCATTATGTCCTAAGAAAATTTAGCATCAGCTGGCAGTGCTATGTTCTCTTAGGCACAATGCTCATGAGCTGGAGAAGGGTAAAAAGTTAATTAGAGAATTTCATTCATGCATCCGAGATGCATGTGCAAGCATGACCACTGAAAAATAATGCTCAGCAAATAAATTGAACTTTCAAATTTCGCTATAGTTCAACCGAGCTAGGCAGTTTTGCTGTTATAAGTGAGGAGATGAGGGGCACAAAACTAAGGCAGGCAGGTGGGAAAGGCAATCGAACCAGATAAAAATAAAAGGGGAGTATGTGAAAGAATGGATTAGGGAGTCAAACAAGCAAACAAGCCACGCAAGTACGAAGGCGAGCAAGCAAGGTTCAAAAGCATGAGAGGGAGTTCTGCCTGGCTTCGAGAGGGGGCTAAGAATTTTTTTTTTCTCTTTCCTTCAAGTTTAGAGGTATGTTTTAATTAGGTTTTCATTTGCAAGTTATAAGCCCTACAGCTGATTTACGACTAAAGATAACTTGTTGGTTAGTGTCTCTTTGTGAATATAAAGACCATTAAAAATAATTTGGTATTTTTGAAGAGGGAAGAGAAAGAAGAAAAACAATGAGGTATAATTGACAAATATAGAAAATTTATGAAATCTGATAATTTAAATTTGATTTAATTAAAGAAAATTCATACTTTTGAATACAAATCTAAAAAATAATGAAACTAGAGTAATTTAATTAATAAAAAATGCATGAGAAATTATTAAAAAACAGAATCTAAATTTCAGGACAGGGCCCTTATGTCATGAAAATAAACAAAACAAAATATTAAACTAAAAATTTAAAAAAATATACAGGAACAATGTGAATAGAGATTTAAAATTATGTTAATTGAAATAAAAGCTGAAATGTTAATAGTTTAATTGAAATAATAATTTAAATATATATTAAGATAATTAAAACCATAATAATGATAAAAATAAGGATTAATTACAAAAAAAATTATATAATTCAATGAAGAAAGATAATATTAAATGGTGTAATTAAACAGAAATATATAGATATATATTTAATTAGTAGGAATGCCAAATGTCTTATAATTTATTTTAGGCATTAAACTAATAGAGAAAAATCTAGTCTTCTGCCATTAAGATGGGTATCTTATTCTTAAGTTATGGTGATAATATAATTTTCTTCTAAATCAAAAGTATTAATTGATTTTGATACTTAGTTCAATCAAATTTTACTACAAGCTATTTAAAATTTATCTCCACTCATAAATGCATTGATCATGTTGAAATGATGTTCGTGGATTGCTTATCATGTTTAAATCTTTTATTTATGTACCATTAATTGTAAAAGCATATTGAATGAATTGAAAAATAGAAATAAAATTAAATTATATAGAAGTGCTAGCAAAGTGAAAATTGACTGACGAGATGCACTCAATTATAGTACTAATTAGGGCGTTAAGATACTCTCAATTATTGATATTAAGTATCCCAAATAATATAATTTAAAAGATGCTATTGTGATGGGTGTGATATATAAATAAATGAAATAAACAATATAATATATGATATGATTTTTTTTTTAATTCATTTTACTAAATGTTTAGTGCCTCTTAAATAGATATCATCAAATAAAATAAATTTTGAAATGATTTTATAATAATTTATTACTCTAAAAAGCATAAATATTTTAACTTCTAAGTTTGTTTATGTTACCATGATTTAATGTTATAACATATCCACTAAGCTATTAATAAATTACAAATTATTATTTAAATTACTATTTTTTGAATAAAATCTCTAGAAAGAAAATAGTGGATGAAAAGATTCTTTATATCAAAGATATGACTATATAAGAAATGGTGTATTTTTTTATAAAATTATTAACTTTTTATTTAGAATAAATTACATAGATATGTGAATCTTTTGTTAGAATGAATGCTATCATTTAAAAATTATTTTTTAATTTTATTTTGATAGTGACCTTAGAATAATGAATATAATTTAAATTTTGTCTAACTGTCTGCTCCTATTTTAAAAATTCTAAAATTTTCAAGTTGGGTCATAAGATGCACAATATCAAAAGTAAACTCCTAAATAATTTGTCATCTTTAAATAAAATGGGAGTAATTTTACACATACATATCCCTCTAAAATCTTATTCATTTACAAACTAACACCCTTCTATCTCCATTTATCAAATTCATCCATATTGAAATTCACAAAAAGAATTTAACCTATATTTTTCATTTTCGTCAAATTTTCAATGATTTGATGGCGGCACATGCGCATGCATGGGATTGCTAGTTCAAATTTCATACAAATTCAAATTTTGTAATTGAGTAAATTTCAGTGGCACATGCGTAGATCTTCCAAGAATAAAATACATCCAAAATATGTATAATTTTGTCATTATAGTGCTATATCAAATTACTGTACCAAGAAAATTAAGTCTCAAGAGTATAAATTTTGACACATAGCACGCGATTGGAGCTGCCACATGCCTCTTAATTAGAAGCTTCTATTTTATCAATTGAAGAACAATAGTATATTAATAGAAGCTTCTTATGTTAAAAAAGGCAGAGGTAAACCTAGGAAGACTTGGGCTTATTGTATAAAAAATGATCTTAATTTATTAGAACTAAATGAAACTATGACACTAAATAGGACGCAATGGAGAAAAAGGATTCATATAGACGACCACACGTAGTGGGATTAAGGCTTTGTTGTACTGCGCCGAAGGACAATAGTATATACTATCATTGTCTGAGCAATGTTCAGGCAAAATTACTATGATGCATCTACAATAAAGTTCAATTTGCGTAAATAATCTATGGCAAACTCAGTTTTTGATGTTTAAATAGAACAACATTGTGCAGATTTACCTATCATGAGCAGTATGTTAAAAAGGCAAATCATAAAATAAAAAACATGATCTACTTCCCCGTAGATTTATTTCCAAATGAAGTTTGATTGGAGGGTTAAGAAAGTTGCTTCCATGCAGTGATCAAATTAGCATTATAATCAATTTGATGGGCTTTTGGGCAGAGTAGCAGCATCCATTTCCAAACCATCTATTATAATAATGAGCTGTACATGTAGAGTCCTTTCTATCTAACCCAACAACACTAAATTAACACTAATTTACACAATCTCAACAATAGTTCAATGATTTTTATAACATCAGACATATGGGAAAAAAAATTAGAGCTGCCACGTCATAAAACACCAAGCGCAATCATGTTGTATTATGGACTCAGCTTTAAAGGATGAGGGTCATCCATACGTGCATTGAAACTCCTATAACCAATCGAACGGTACATATTAGAAATTGACAGGATGATTTGAGAACACAAATAAGTGGCCGCACCTCAACAAGCCTTGTTCACAACATTTTCCCTGACAGTAATCTAAAGATCTACACTCCTACAAAAAGTACAATTCGTATGCACACAATGAGTAAATAAGCAATTTGATGATTTGAAAACCATTTTCTTTAATTGTTTCATTTCATAATTTTTTTTTTTTTGTTTTTTTTTTTTTTTTTTCCGGTTTTAATTAATTTCATGCCTATGATGATGTTCCTATAAGAATGAAATGGCTTTTAATTTCTTTTTTTTTTCCGGTCTCCTTCAACTCGAATTGATTAGGTTCCTATGGATAAGGCATTTGGATATATCTGCTTTTGAAGGCTGTTGATTTTTTAGCGGACGCCGCGTTAAGCAGTTCCTTTAGACCTTGATTCTTGCAAAAGTTGGTGCTGCTCCTCTTTGTTTCCGCACATATAATATCTATTTATGAAGAGCTCTTACGTAATTATTGTGTGTACTTATGTGGTGGTATCAGGCAGTGCATGTCAATTTGGCTCTGCTTCCATTTTATTGAGCTCTTCAATGCCTAGATACTTTCCTGCAGGCAGCTGATTTGAGGGCTTAATGCTTAAAAATATCAAAACCTGAGATGGTTCAGAAAAGAAAAAAAATTCTAAACTATTTTTTTTGGGCTCAATCTTTTATGCTTAGTTGGATGCTAATTCATTCAAGTATGATCCAAGAGCAATAAACACTTTTTAGCAAAAATCATCTCCTCACGCAGGCATGAGGCCTGAATTTTTGTGTTTGGTGGTATCTTAATCAGATCTCTTTTTCTTTTATATAATTTGAATATTATCAACATGAGTGCATAGGTAACAAAATTCATCATTTTTAGCTAGCACCATCTCAAATTAGAAATTACTAATAGAATTAAATTAAACTACACTTAAACCCCTCTTTTGTTGTCCTCAAGGAAAGATATTCATCAGAAGTTATCTATGAATGCACATTCTTGGAATCAATCAGACAAAAACACCATTATCTTCATTTTTAACTTGTTTTAAGTGTACACCCATATGGCTCGCAAAACAAATATGATATGACGACCAAACAAACACAACCTGAAAAGAAGGTTCATGTCTGTGTAAACATTTGGTAAAAACTGGTAAAGCTTGCCCCTAATCGTGCTATCTTGCTATCCGGTTCAAGAGCCAAAACAAAACATCCACTAATCAGCCCAAACTAGGGGACCTGCCAATCTGGATATTTTCAACTCGCAGCTCACCCCCAGATACTGCAACTTCCGTACACAGATACATGAAACAGAATGTCCCAACTGTCAGATGGCTGTACAGGCTTCCGTACGAAATCAGCATGGGAGTCTACAAACTTTTATATATTTTTTAGTAAGTCTACTCAAATCTTATACTATTGTAAAAGACGCCCGGATAGTTTACTCATGGACACATTAGGATTCAACATCAATTATTGCTTGGTTAACCGTTCATGATATTTTCAATTCAAGAAAACGTAAAGACGACTGACATAGGAGATGAATATTGTCATATACAAAAGTTGACCACCATCCAGCATAGATTTCCAACTTTTAAAAGAGCAAACTAACAAAAGGAACTGGCAGACAGAAAACAACCATTTCATTAATGCAAAACTGGACTGAAAAAAGAAAATTGCATCTTGTACATTGAAAATGTGTTAATGCTGATCCCGAGAACTAACGGTCCAAAAAAAAGAAAGTAAGACAAAGGAGAGC